TATGAAAATTCAAACACTAATATTCCCAGGTTATAATTTATTACATTGGAATCGTAATCACGATCCAATTCATCAGACCTACAAATTCAAAAAGAAATCGGAAAATATAACTCCGGGTATAAAACAAACAAAATTTTGGTGAAAGTGTATGTGTGGGGGTGGGAAACAAGTGTGAGAGAGAAATGTATGAAAACTCTAGAGAGAGGTGTAATAGAAGAAAGAAGAAAAGGAATATATATATATATATATATATATATATATATATATATATATATATATATATATATTCTATAGCCTGGGATGGCATGGCAACTGGTCTAGGAGAAGGACAACTCTGAATTCAAAACCTGCGGAGGGTCGTTTGGGAACCTTGTGGCATGCATTCGGTGCACCAGGTTTCTGTATTCGTCCCTCAAAAAGTGTGGCTGGTCCTGCACAAGGCCTTCACCACTATAAACAAATCTCATGTGCCGGTGTCGGGATGTCGGTTTCCTGGGGACTTATCGGCCTGACCCTCATACGTCGAACGCGACAGGAGAGTCGATTATATATATATATATATATATATATGTATGTATGTATATATATATATGTATGTATTATTGGCCACTAATATTATCTATGTCTCTCTCTCTCTCTCTCTATATATATATATATATATATATATATATATATATATTTTATATATATATATATATATATAGAGAGAAGAAGAAAGAAAGAGGGTGAGAGAGAGAGCCCTCTTTTCAGACCTATTGCAAAAAGGTTTGTTCTCTTGCAGTACTTTCTCTTAATTCAGATATGAACAGAATACGATAGATATGAACAGAATGAGATAGATAGACAGTCAGTAAGTCGGATAGATAGATAGATAGATAGATAGATAGATAGATAGATAGAAGTAAAAACATTCTATATTTATGGTCAACTGAGAATTTCGTAATTTTTGACTCTCGACATTCCTATGAATAAATAAAGATTACGAAATTCTCTTATATTTCATATATGTTAAATGATATGAGTTTATGTATATAATTAGCTAGGATTTATTTAACTAAAAGTATCACACTTCATGGAATATTATATAAATTTATTCTAGATATCATAAATAAAATTCACACACACACACACACGCACGTATATATATATATATATATATATATGAAGAAAAATACTTAAAAAACAAACAAAAATCTTAATATACAATTATGCTGTATTAATGTTAATATAAAGTCGACGTCGGACGTTTCGGTCTATTTAAGACCATCTTCATGGACATTTTCATTTAAACATAATTAACATTAGAACATATAAAAATTTATGTCCATCGTCTTTTGTGTTAAATTTTTATATGTTCTAATGTTAATAGACAGTATAATTGCATATTAAGATTTTTGTTTGTTTTTTCTGTATTTTTCTTCATACTGTCGGATCTATATCCATATATTTGCTTACATATATATATATTCTTGACTTCGACTTCAGTCACATTCTCACGACGAGTCGTGGCTTCCTTCTGCCTTTTCTACAAATATTTTCATGGCAACTGTTTAAGCGTGCTACTAGATTGGCAAGTAGGTCTCACCGTTGGACTGTTGAACTAACTTTGTTATCTTTTTTAAAGTAAGGAGGTAAAGCCACTAAGACACAAGGTGTTACTGGATATGGAAGAATTAGAAATGAAAGACTTCACTGAAGAGATGAACAAAAGAAGAGTAAACAGAAGGATAGTAGAAAGCGATTGACATTGCATTTAAATCGGGAAGTGTGAGGGAAAAAAACTGTTAGCATAGAACTTCCGGTTACATCTAGTTAACCCAACTTGATGAGATCTTGACGCCAGTCTAGGATTTCTCTTAAATTCAAAAAGTCTAAGTACCATATCGAAGAGCTCATCCGAACAGTTCTACTCCAAAAGTTCCTTTTCTCGCACTTCCCGCCTGTGAAACTCCCTTCTGATTTCTTGCTTCCCTGATAATTACAACCTTCAAAAATTTAAATGTAACGTCAATCGCCATCTTCTGTCTTCTTGAAACCTATTCCTCTTTAGTCCTTTTCTCAATCCTCACCATTCTCAGCCTCCTCCTCGTACTCTTTTATTTTCACTCTATGCAACTCGCCGACTTCTCGTAACATTTTTAGCGTACTTGGAGTGAAACAGTTATAGTTATATATATATATATATATATATATATATATATATATATATACTGAACAATAAAAAATATTAAAAAATTAAAATCTTCAGTCAGACTGGGTTGTATATTAATATTCCTTCGTTTTTATTATTATTTCATTTACATTCCTCGACTAGTTTCGGCCAACATGGCCATCATCAGGAGAAAATAATTTTTTCTGCTTCCTGGTAGCTGTGAACTATAGAAATGAAATATATATATATATATATATATATATATATATATATATATATATATATATATATATATATGTATGTATGTAAAAATGTTAACTATGACTTTTTTTAAGGATATGTACATCATATGTGCGTGCATATGTGAGTACGCGCCTGTGTGCGTATGTAGCTAGATGCATGGTGTCTACCTTTACGAAATTTTGGATTTGGTTCCTTGAATGTGGGCTACATGTCACTGACTATAAACTATCTCAGCAGCATTGTGTTACGCTGTACAGAATGCAGGATAGCCTCCCAGGATGGAATCAGGTTATAAATATATATGTGTGTGTGTGTGCGTGTGTGTGTGTGTGTGTGTGCGTGTGTGCGTGTGTGTGTGTGTGCATAGAGAAAGGGAGGAAACGTGAGCATAATTGGAATTGATTGCTTTGAAATGAAAAACTCGCCATTTTGTTCCCTTTCAATTTCAAACAGACAAAATAAAATAAAATATGTACTAAATGGAGGAATAAACAAAATCTTCTGTCGGTCATGGCCAAGGTTGCTTATAGCTTGTTACTAACGCGATATGGCTGGCACACAGATAGATAGATAGATAGATAGATAGATAGATAGATAGATAGATAGATAGATAGATGAGTGAGATAAATAGATAGATAGATAGATAGATAGATAGATAGATAGATAGATAGATAGATAGATATGAATAGACTGTGATAGATAGATAGATAGATAGATAGATAGATAGATAGATAGATAAATAGATAGATAGATGAGTGAAATAGATAGATAGATATGAATAGACTGTGATAGATAGATAGATAGATAGATAGATAGATAGATAGATAGATATGAATAGACTGTGATAGATAGATAGATAGATAGATAGATATTAATCTGTTTATATAGAAACATAATTTAACATATGTAGATGTCTATGCATACGAATTCATTTGTCGAAGCTGACAATGAATATAGCAGGCTTTTGTGGCAGATGATTAAAGAAGTAATGCCATCATGGTATAATAAATTATACACCGTAAGATTGATTTTTACGTTGATGTAATTACACCTTCGAAGAGTGAGAGGGGACGCTAAATTTAATTTTTTTTTAATGTGTTTATGGGTCTATAGTCCATATGATTTCATTTATTATTTTTCTTCATTTTCTTGTCACTTTTGTTATTAAATATCCCACATTTTATTAATATCAAGAAAGGTGAGATGTTGCAAGAACGTGGACGTAAATTTACTGCGCATGATCTGGCGATTAAAGCACTTTCTATACATTTTCATCTTATGAAATTGCTTTCTCTTTTAATTAAAGTAGATTTTTTAAATCAAATTATAGTCATTGCGGTAAGTAATTAATAAACTGAGTGTGTTCTTTTGTAAAAGATCCCTTTTATATATATATATATTAATTTCTATAAATTCCTTGAGATTTCGACTATGTATTCATACGAAAAGAAATTCCACCATGTCATAGATTTTCCTAAACATTGTTGTTGATATATAAAAAGTTATATGCCGTTCTCATATATATATATATATATATATATATATATATATATATATATATATATATATATATATATATATATGCATGTTTCATTAAAAACGACAGACAAGGTACTACGGTTGTTTTTTTTTATTTAATTTTTCTTGTGTTTCTTTCACCAAACCGGACTCATAAATAATTACATCGGCTACACAACCACATGTTTATCCAGACGTCTTACATTACACCTATCTGATCATTGTTCCATCAGAACACATTTAAACACACACTCAGATTTACCCGACACTATTAGGAACATACTAGTAGAAAACACTAATATATTAACTGCATCAACTTGCAAAAAAAGACTAAAAATAATGGAAGCTCTAATAATAAAAAAGAAAAAGCCAACTCTTAACAATATCAACTATGAACAAAGCCACAATGTGCTAACCGTATTCGGAAACAAAAACATCACTACCACACACTGAACATACACAGAACACACACACTCTACTAAGCTGATAATTGAATCATCCTTGATAATGGCTAAAGGTATAGCCGAAAGCGCTCGGAAACACAGAACATTCGGACAGTTCTTACACATTCTTTGTCCAGAAAAGAAAGCTCTTGTCAGAACACAAGAAAAATTAAATAAAAAGCTCAACCGTAGTACCTTGTCTGTCGTTTTTAATGAAACATGCATAAAGGAAGGATTGCTGCCTAAATATACAAATATATATATATATATATATATATATATATAAATGGGGTACAAAATGATATATAAATGTTATATACTAGAACAATGTGGAATACTTAATAACAAAAACGGTCAAAAAGAAAAAGAAATTAAATGTAATTGATATATTTACAAATACAATCCAAAAATCGGAAACATAATTAGAAATATTAGAAAAGTAAATAAAGAATTACCAATAAGGAACTTTCGTTGTTTTTAATCAAACGTGCATATATATATATATATATATATATATATATATATATATATATATATATATATATATATATATATATATCAAACGTAAATATATATATATATATATTAGGTTATTACATCGAAAACATGTCAAAAATCGCTACACAGTTCCAGTAGTGTTTTGA